ACTATGACCAATCAGACACGCGTTCGCTTGATCATCCGTCTCCCCATCTTGTGTACTATATGTCACCGCGAAAAAGGGAAGAGAAGAAGACAAGGAGGGATGGAAGGAGAGAAGGACAGCGACCACGGACAGGCAGCCAATGAGGAAAACGAAGCAGTCGAACGCAACGGTAGCCTCGCAGCTGACTTCTCGCATCGCCTCGGACCGGCAATTTCCTCGAGAACCTAAAATGCAAGTAACAGTATGTTTGCCGAAATTACCATCTATCTACATAGAGGAGTGCAGCAGAGAAGAAACACGGGGAGATGGAGAGAGAGAGCAAAAGCAGTCGTAGGTGGTGCCCAGGCACCAACAAGCCGCTCGATCCGAGTTTCGTGTTCCATTACGCAGACAGACCGAACCGTCTATCGGACCAAAGCTCCAAGGATTTAGATGCGCCTTTGTATATCGACCAGGAATACGTCGTTATGTCGAGGCGAGTTTACAGTGGGACCGGCTACGTGAGCTGGGTGAAATCAGCGCCGACGCGTATTCGATGTGGCGACGGAATTTCAGATTCAGCAGGCTCGCTCTCGAACCTAGACGAATCGCGTTCGCCCATCACCACGATACCTAGGATACAATCTTCAAGGGAACGAGCAGGGAGGACACGCTTAAACGCATTATAAATACTTGTCGCTTCGTGGCCGGCTGATTCGTACATCATTTCATCACCGTTTATAGTTACCAAGGTATAGTCGAGTTCAGAATTCTGTTTGTCCCTAACCTATAAAGTATCTTATCAATTTTCCAGGCCCCGTCCGAAAACATCTTGAAATATACATGATGTTTGAGGTATCTGTTAAAATTAACATATTCCTCATATCCATCACACGTGGACTTGAAATTATTATGTTGTACAGATAGAAGTACTGACTGGTAACGTGTGCCCAACTGTACAATAGTATAGATGGAGAATAATAATTAAAATGGTATGATGAAAGTAAATAGGTATATGAAGTTAATTTCTCTATGAATAAAAATCAATATCGATTTCCCTAAAGGCAGGTGATTGGAAAAAAAATTTGTTGAATGTTGGATTTGAAAAGGGAAGTGTTTTTGAAAGAAATTTCTATTTTTTGGTAATATATAAATGCTCGATAAGGTTTATGGCGGCAGTTCCTACGAAGTTCCCATCGCTTTCGTGAAATTCGAGCTTCTCATAACTCTTACGTTTAACTATCGATTCGTTTATATGGATGGCCTCTTCTAAGAGTGAGTGTCCCCTCGAATAAGCTTTATGGTGAGCCTTATGAGTTCGGAAAGGACTTGGGTAATATGTTCTCTTTTCTTTTCTCTTTTGTTCCTTTCCCAAAATGTAACGATAAATTCTCTGCAGAATATAAGGAACTTATTTTTGTTGACACATATTTTATACAAAATGACTTTCATGTCATTACCAGCAATTGACAGGGATATAGAAATAACTGTGAACGACAGTTACAATAAATATAATAAATTTAAAAATTGTTTTCAAAGTACTTGTGAAGAACTGTAAAGGTACTTCTCAATGTTAATTTCAATAATTTTTTAAACGTCGATTCTACTTTGATTTCACAGTAACATAGTATTTGTGTTACTGTCATATCAATGATGTTCCACGTGTCAACGACAAACTCATAAATGGCTTTTTAGAACGTTCTTCTGAAAAATGAGAAAAGTGAAGTAAAATATACCTCTACAAGCTGAATATTACCAGAGAGATCGAAATTGATTGCGAGTCAGCTTTTTGGGAAGCTCGTTGGAATATAGATGAGCCAATTCCGAGACATCCGATGAAACCTCGAATTGAAAGATAGGGTATTAGTGACGTCACGTCTGCCATATATCGATTATCCCAAGACAAACGACGCCATCCTTTGACCTTTCTGCAGAAGGGTGCACGGTTGATGGAAAACCCTAGAAAAATTACATTCTTCCGGATCACTTCGAAATTCTGACGCGGTGGTGGACGGTTCGGATCGACGGATGGGATCGCAAATCGAGCGCTTCTCGGACGTGGTCGCTTTTCATTTCTTGATCTTGAAGCCGCGCCATTCTTGGATCACTTGGTCTAACCCCTTCGAGTTAAAGTGGATCACACGAAAAAGAAATCTCTCACGCTGATGTTTCTCTACGCTCTCGATGCCACGATTCGAGTGGAAGCAATCGAAACATTTTTACGAAATTAAGGTGAAGTTCTTTTCTTCGAAATATTTAACGGAGAGATCTCGTATCTCAAAATTGTTCGATATTTCATAAATGTTTCTAAGATTCTATAATTCACATAAACATTTTTGTATCGTATCATCATTCGATATTCAATCAAGGAATCAAGGAATTATAATAATTTCCTAAAAATATAAATTGGAAATTTTTATTCTTCATGTTTTTATATTTTATTTTTACATTTTACTATGTATCACATACTCGCGTACAATTTATCAATCATGTTTACAATTAGTACCTCGCATTTGTGTGAAATATATTTTAAGTACGTAGATATTTCTGCCTAGATAGTAGGATCGGTGTCTATCATACGCGTGGCTGTAGGTGGATAGATATACCCTAGATTCATTGCGGTTTAAGAGTCTTGACACTTCGGGGACTTGCTGTCCTGAAATTTACGGAGTGAAACGTGCGACCGACGTGTTCCCGCAGATGGTAAGATATCGTGACTGAAAATCGATAGCCGCGTATCGATGAAAACGTCAGGCCGCGTAACGCAACGTTAAACGCCGATAGGTTATCTCTTCGTCCCAATAAAAATTGCGAATTCGGCAAAGGAGCTAACATGGTTCGTGGCTGTCCGTGCACGGGTCGTGACACTTCTACTCCACTGCAGCGATCATCGCGCTGCTTTGCACGAATCCGACGAAAGTTTCGTCTATCAGCAGTAAACGACGGCAGATCGGATGAAGGAAGACGGACGGAGGAAATTGAATAACACCGGAAGGTGCACCGTGCTCCTATTGGATATCTTATCACATAATAAGTGGTATAGCCGAGAAGATAGAAGATTCTGTGAGAAAATATTTTTATGTTGGTAAAAGTAAATTTTTAACGCGAATCTGGGAGACTAGACTTCTAATTTTAGGTTAGAATTGCTTAATCTTGCAGACACTTTCCATTTCTCCTTTGCATATTCATACGTTTTATATTTTCATACATTTGTGAACTGAATTTGTGAAAATTTAATAACTTTGACAATTTGGGGAAGAGATGCAAAATAGAGATGCAAATACATAGATGCAAATGTATTTTTTGGTTTGCAATTTAATTTCCATTTCAATTTTATTTATGCATCGTTGTGGGCCTATTGTTATATAATAACGAAGAATATTCTTGTTTCAGAAAATGAAGAATTTGCAAGAAAATAATCTCCCCTATATGTATCATAATTGGCAATTTTTCGGTTCATCGAGCAACAGTCAAATTACACAACTCTCGAACATGATAAATGGAAGAGCAATCAAAGTCTCTGTCAATCTTGGCACTCCAACCATTGAAGAAAAACCGGAATAGAAAGAGCACTGAGTGGCAAGGAATGGGGGTTGAAAGGAAAAATAAAATTCCGTTTCTAACCGAGAAGCGAGAAGTAAACTTCATCGTTTACTTTAAAAACAATTAAGGAATGCTCTTTTTCCCTGCTACGACAAGGCCCTATCAACCGTTCCGTTTCAGAACCGACGGGAGAATGAAAATAAAGAGTGCAACCGTCTGTGTCGTAACTTCCGCTTAATTCGACTATTTACTGCATCATTATTTATAAAAGACCCGAGAAGTTAGTCGTAACTAGTAAAAGTAAAGAACAGCTTGAAAACTTTACGTGTATTCTGGTCAACGTGGCATTGTAAACCGTTATAACCTAAAAGTAAATGAAACTTCTAATCCTTTATTACCAACATTCGTTACATGAAGTAATATCGTCGTAAGAAGATACCATGGCGAAATTTCCTGAAGAATAAATAATGATAAGGGTAATAACAAAAGCTATTTCATGTTTCTCTCGTTTGGATTTATTTAAAAAGTATCTGTACAAAACAATCTACGTGGTTACATTGTACACCTGTACGTACACGTTAATTGCATATGAAAAATAAACGTTTTATAAATTTAATCTTAAATGTATTTAAATTTTCCAGATGCAAACGAATAACTTACCGGAAGAGAACACGTAAGTCTGATACAGGTTAGAAAAATTTCCAATGCAAAAGCATTTTATTAACCTCAAACGTGGTAAGGTAACCCATAAAAAAGCATGTTGAATATTTCCCAAAGCAAATCCAACAGTATGTTATTCTCGAAAATTTACCGATGTTTCCGTCGATGAAATTTTACAGAAAGTAGGTTTTCTCTTTATGGGACTGAAAAGTTTGACGACAAAATATAGAGGCAGTCGTTTGAAGTCGATACACTCGACGCGTGCATCGATTGATACGCACACACTGGCGTGCGAATACGTTTAGGTTAGGAGATCTCGCGTCACTCGAAATGTTGGCAGCCGAGTCATGAAATATTCAAGATACAAATGGCACGTCGAATCCGATCACGAGCACTTCAGTTAATAAGAAACTTTCTAAATTCTAATGCATTTAAATTGCCTCGCCCTTGCATTTCCTTCGAGACTAGAGCATTCAATTAAGTGTGTACTTCGTTCACAAAGAATCGTCTTCACCGACAATCACGCTTGCGAATATGCCTTTATTGGTCACAATCGAAGGTATTTTGATTTTATCATTAGTTAGCTTTAAAAATCGAATCAAATATCAGTGCTCATCGAATAAAGCTTTGTGAAAGCTTCCCAGTTTTAATGTGTAAGGTTATATGCAATATGAAACTTGAATGTTCTTTGAGACCTTATAAATTTCAATCTTCTTGAAAAATATGTTACCTATCTATAAATTAATAAACAATATGTGAGTGAAAATTAAAGTATCACAATATTTTTGTCATATGAAAGCAGTCAGAGAGGGAGTGTTTATAAGAGACAAGAGGCTCTTCTGCCAATTGCTGATGCTTTTCAACTTGTGCTTAATGAAGACGTGCGATCGACAAGGAGAAACCGACAGTAATCCATAAATGATTGCCTCCTCGATACTGGTCGACGCCAGAGGTTAGGGTTATAATCAGCCTCGATGTTTCATTTTCGAGGGACGTTCATTACCCGGGATATTTGCTTCTTCTTTTGACAACTGGCGATGGGGTGACGACTTTCTCCCTTCTTATTTCATACATATGTGCAATACATCGTAGGATTTGTACGATTAAAATCAAATGGCAGCGAAGATATTGCTCTTTTCATGTAACGGTACCTCTCGAAATCCGCCAAAAGGTTAGCATTCGTCACGCACAGCACTCCTTTGCAGAACGTCCTGTAACGATAGGAATGATTTTAAAAGATAATTATAACGAATGCACTTTTCTGAAGAAAGAGACAAAAGGGGTCGGATAAAGCCGTGCCACAATTATGTTCCATCAACGTCATAGTTGATAGGGTTTCAGGCAAGTCAGCGTAAAATTGAAATAGGGGTTGCTAACATTTGGTTGGGGCTAGACGTGTCCGTGTGCTCGCGCGCGTACATAATAGGTTTAGAGACGGAGCAACCCTTATCTACTAGGCTACCATACACGCCGGTAAGATAACGGTCTTTCGACTCAAACTGATATGCAGCCACGCTAAAATCGGCCTCCACCGAAATATACAGGCCGATTTGGAAGATATAAAGGGTGGCTAATGTTAACGGCTTTCTGAGAGCAAAAGAACTCGCAGGATAACGTTTTGCACGGATGGCCTTTGTCCTTTAGACACCTAAAGTTCGATAAGATACGCCACGGGGAGCATTTAATGGCTTGTAAGTATTTTTGGAGCTTTGCAAAAGAAGTTACTGGGCTTAGATAAAGTAACATCGTATACTCAGATCAGTGTCGTAAATTGAATAAAGCCGAGAGGTTTTTACATCTAAGCGTATAAATATTCTACCATACCGATGCTGAATGCAAATTGAAAGCTGTTACGAATCGAAGGCACTGAACCAGAGTATCTGTTTTAGGTTATATTCGCATGAAATTGTTTCCAACGCGTTCTCTTTCGTGGAACATGCTGTACAGAATAATCTAGTGATGTTGAGGGATCGTTTTCGATTACCCCGAGCAATTTATCTAGTCGTCTTTAACCGCAACGTGCGTTGGTCGTAGAATTCCTAGGTGGTCGAGTGTATAAAGCGATTCCAACACTTAAGCAATTAACCCAGTGCTGGGTAACCTTGTTTAACGAATAGCATTTATCGCGATACACCTGTTCCGAGATCACTCGATTCGAAACGCGTCCTCTCTTTGATCAACCGTCTGTCAATTTGCACGCATCGGTTTCTCTTTCTCCTCCCACGCTCCACCTGTTCTACCTTTTGTCCTTTACCAGCTGCATCTAATTTTTCGCTCGAGACATACTTTTCCTCTTTCTTTTTTGTCGCTATAACTCGTTCCTTGCGTGAGCACGAAGGCGCTCCTCTCTCTTCTTCCGTCGCTGGAAGAAAGAAAAAAAACAGGATTGAATCGTATGGTTTCATCCATTTCCTTTTTTCCCGTTTTTCTTTCGATTTTTTCCCCCCCC